AAAAGAAGAGAAAAGAAGAAAAAGATAATATATAATCAAATATAAATATTATATGATTAGTATATAATATGTAATATATAATAAATAATAAATTCATATAATATAGATAGAAGATATAAAAATTAAATGAATAATAATAAATGATAAAGAAATAATAAGAGAAAAGAAATGATATAATAATAAATAAAATATATAAATAAAATGATAAATAAAATTAATATAATATAAATAAAATAATAATAAATATAAAAAGAAAATAGATATAAAATATAAAAATATAATCAAAATGAAAATAAAATAAAGAAATGTATTAATATATAATAAAATATATATAAATAGAAGTGTATTAATATATAAAATAAAATATAAGTAATAACAACATAAAACTAATAAAATATGATAAATATAAAATATATAGATAAAATGATGTTATATAATATAATAATAAAAATAAATATAATAATAAAATATAATAATAAAATACATAAATAACATAATAATAACATAATAATAAAAATGTATACTTACATTGAATCAAATATCATTTCTGAAACATTTATATTTCAGAACAATTTACCATAAAATGATATAAAATATAAAGAAATATAAATGAATATAGAATGTGTATTTAATTTACTTTTTTATTTTTTATTTTTTTTAGGAGTAGAATAATAAAAACTATTATTTTATTGATTCAAAATATTTTGCCCTTTTCTTTTTGGGGTTTTTTATTTAGATGCATTATTTCTTTGCTTATTTTGGTTCCCATTGAAAATGATAATGAAAATGAATTTACTGAAGAGAAGAAGAAGTTTAATGAAAAAGAAAAGATGAAATTAAAAGAAGAAGAAAAGAAGAATGAAAAAGATAAAAGAATAGAAGAATTAAAGAAAAGAATAGAAGAGGCTATTAAAGAGAAAGAAGAAATGAAGAAATACAAAAGAAGGACCAGACCATTAATAAATTATCAAATGACATTATGTCATTAAAGAAGAAGCATGAGAATGAGATAAACACTAAAAAACAAGAAATTGATAGAAAATTAATCGAATTCAATGCTGAATCAGAAAGGAAAATGTCTGGAGTAAACAATTTATCACAACAAATATACTTCTTGAAAGATAAATTATTTAAATTACAAAATAAAATTACACAAGAAGAAAAGAAGAAAGATGAGATAAATCACACTATATCTGATTCATCTGAAACACAAATTGTGAATAACCTCACCCCCAATGTGGTGGTAACTGATGAAATATCATCAAGCGAAGATGACCTTCCAAAAAAAAGAAAGTTAATATAGAATTCAATCGAAGAGATGGGATTCAGCATAAAAAGATCACCACATCTGATCATG